TAGGAGAATGGTCCTCAGGTGTGGTTCTGATTGCACTGGTGTAGGAGAACTGCAAGAGAAAAACTGGAACTCCGACGACTGCTATATGACCAAAGCCTCAAAAATGGCTATAACTCAGTGGGTTTACAAATAATGAGCTATAATTTGATGTGGTAGTAGCTTAATCTTTAACAGCACACACTCTAAGGATGAGGTCTTGACATCAGGTTAGATCGCACAGAACATTATTTTCAAGGTTTGAACAAAACAAATATGTCTCCTTCCATCATCAATTGTAAGAAGATCTTGGTTTAAAATCTTAGCGTGGAAGCTGGAGGGAGATATGAATCTCTTTAAGAAATGAACAGTCTTTAAAGAAAGTTATTCTTGCCACGTGCCTACATTTGGGTCCATTCAGCCGCTTTCATCCCAGCTGTGCCACATTAGCACTCACTTAAAAAAGGTCTGTATTCATTAACAAAGTACAAAGTTAGCATTAGTTTTAAGCACTTTGTTACGTCGCTAAATTCAGTGAAGGTCCTTTGGTAATAACCTGCTACATGTCTGACGGTGGAGCAGAGTTTAGACACCGAGGTAAACAAGAGAAAGTCAACAGGATGTCCCAGAACTGTCACCAAGTTGATTCCCAATGGTTCACAGCTCTCACCACATTATAGTCAAGTTTGTTTAAATATGCTCTGTAGCATATTAAACTATTAGATTGTAGGTTGTTAGAGTGAACTTTAACATATACTGAGTGGTTCCCTCGTTGGAAACTAATAATGTGACACTTTTATTTAAAGCAAGTCTATATTTTACATACAGTAAATAACGCCACACATTATTTTATGCATATCCAGTGATCCCACTGGTCACCCTCAATACTGCTTGAAGCTACAGCAGCAGGAGGTGACAAGCAACCAAGAGCTCCAATCAAAACTCATCATCACATGTTCATATTGCAGATGTGCCAAGTAGACAGAGTTTGCACATCTGTTAAATGTTGTACTAAGCAGAGCTTATTTCAGATGCAGTGATGGGAGCAAAAAAGCCACTTTAGTCCCAATTCACACAGGATGATGATCTTGTTAATGTTATGTGCCTGTTGACCTAAATAATCTCATCAAAAAAGGCTGGATCATTGCAACATTGGAAATCATTCAGTGTGAAGGCAGACATGACACTTCAAGGCTACAGTAGTTCCTCATTTATTGCAGAGGTTAGGTTCTGGACACCCCCCCCCCCCTCCCCCCCCAAGTGAAAATCTGTGATGTAGCAATGTTGTATTTATTTTAGTACTTATATATTTTAAGGCTTTATAACCCCTTCCCTCACTTTTGCAATGTTCTAACCTCTTAAACCTACTAATTTCAACAACATACGTATATGTATGTTGTTGTAAATATATGTGTAAGTTTTATTCACCAGCTGGCAGAACAGCTGTGGCTCAGTTCTGCTCCAACTTGGTTCCGTTTCAGTGGACCTGCCGGTTCTGGTCAGTTCTCTGGCTCGGGGTACTGGCGGTGGGCTCCAGAAAGAAGCTGGACCTACGGCAGCGCGCATCCCTGCTTGGAAGGCCTCGTGGGCCGTCTACCAGCTCTCAGGTTCGCTAATGGGTCTGGAGGTCCGGTTCCACTCCAGTTCTGGTCTGGTTCTGTGCAGCCCTTGAGCGCCGAAGCACATTTTGGGGAGCGGGGTGGGGCTCTGAGTGGCTGGCGCGGGACTGATGTTCTGATTGAGCAGTCCGATAGAGATGAAAAAGTCCCGGTGAGATCCGGAGGGATTACCGGACCTATGGTGGCACGCCCCTGGCTCGGAAGTCCTCATGGGCCAGCTAAAAGTTCTTGGGTTTGCAATGGGTCTGGAGGTCTGGTTCTGGTCCAGTTCCCGGTAGGTTCAGTGTGGCTCTCTGCATCCGCTGGGTGCCAAATAGTCACTGTGTGAATAAGGACCAAACTTTTTTGGATCAGATCAAACTTTCCCTCTAGTATTTCAGCAGAAGTCAATGGGACTTCTGGGTGGGGCCCTATTGACTTATGGGAAATGTAGTCCTTATGAGTGGAGATACAGTGTAGACTCATTGAGAGAAAACTACAAAATGGCGGAGCCTGTCTGAAGTATTTTATTTTTTCGTTAACGTTTTACTGTACAGTATCCACTACTGTCCCAACCAGATGAGTAATATTGAAGTTGACAGTCGTGCACAAATTATTTTCCTCATTTCCAATCATACTTTGAAAAAGCGGGAAAGAACAAGTCTGCGAAAGTAAAAACGCAAAGTAGCGAGGGACTACTGTATTCCCAAGAAGGTTTGTCTTACTATTATCCACTCCCCTGCACCCCCACCATGCTGTCATGGAATGACTCTAGGACCAGTTCAGGATGTAGCTACATGCTAGAAGATTACACAATGATGCCACAGATATCCTGTCTGTGATAATATACAGTATCATGTAGTTCCTTATTACTTGATCACATTTAGCAGCAAATATAGTAAAACCACTGAGTTTCTCTTCAAAAAGACGTTTTTAAAATAAAATAAATAAATAAATCTAAAACATTTACGTTCAGTCCACTATAGTATCATCAATATGAATAAAATAATCTAGAAGTTGAAAACGTGTTAATGATACGTTTATTTTAAGGTTTTAAATTGGCACCTCGTCCCAACCTTAGTTAATTTTATTCAGAAGTAAAATGTTCAAATAAACTAGGGATGCACAATATTATCGGCATGGTATCGGTATCGGCCGACATTAGCGTTAAAGTTAAATATCGGACATCAGCCATTCCTTCAAAAATAACACACCGATATAAAATACGCTGTTTTTGTATGACAACCCAGTGACAAGGATACCTGCAGTGCCAGCATAACGTGATGACATCACGCGTGCCTACCTGATCTGATTATAATGGAGAGGAACAAGTCACAACGTCGGCGGTGTGAAAGCTATTTTTCCGTTGAGGATGTCGGATTCCGAAGATTTTTTGGACTACGTTGAGCCTCGTTACATTGTCCCCAGTCAGAGATATTTTTCTGACATAGCCTTACCCGAGTTACAAGCTGTCATTTCTGACATTATTGAGAAGCTAATAGCTGATAGCACGACTTGTTGGGTGAGTTTTACCACAGACGTTTGGACGTCGTGTTAGCCCCGTTAGCATGATTAGTCTTACAGCACAATGGATAGACAAAAACTTTGAACTTAAAAAGTCTGTCCTTCATGCACAGGAGTGCAGAGGGTCCCACACTGCAGCTAGGAACCTGGAACAAGCCTCCACAAGTGAGACAGCATTGCAGGTGACTAATGCTGATAAATAACATTTAACGCTTTTCATTTAATATAAGTTAAAGTGCTACGCATCATATGGCTGTTACTGAATATATGTCACCAGCTCTTACAGCTGTTACACAATTTTTGTAGCAAATAACCCTAAATAAGAGCGCTATGTTCTGACAAAGGAAAATCGGTATTGTTATCAGTTATTGGCCAAATAAATGTTAATATATCGGCATATCAGATATCAGCCAAAAATCCAATATTGTGCATCCCTAGAATAAACAATGTTAGAATAAACACTGAAGCTCAAACAAGAGGGAACAGCTTTAGTAAGATTAAATGGTTATTGGTCTAAGGGGTGCTACAATTACAGGAACACATTTGTGGATCAAATTACCAGAACATGTCAGAGAGTTTGCGAGTTACATAAATACGAGCCTGCGATCGGAAGGTTGCCAGTTCGACTCCCCGGACCAACATCATCAAAATGCAGGTGGAAAAGTGAAACACCCACACCTGCCTCCACCCTCATTTGGCTCACTCGGCCTTTGAGCAAGGCCCTTAACCCCCACCATCTGCTCCCCTGGGTGGCAGCTCTCTGCTCCACACAGAGGGTTGTGGTAGCTCTGTGGTCTTTGGTTGCATCAGGAAGGACAGCCGGCGTAAAAGCAATCACCAAGTCTTCGTGCGAGTTAGTTCACTGTGACGACCCCTGAAGAAGGGAGCAGCTAAAAAAGGAATTCATATTGATATGATATATTTTTATCACACACACAATTGATGTTTAAACGGACCACAGGAGGTTTTAATTAAAAACACCTGAAATACCAATTAATGTAATAAAATACAAATCAATAATTATGTCTAAATTTTTCTCAGCTCGTCTGCTGTTTTGTGTTTTTTTCTGTCAGCATCACCAACAGGAAAAGGTTACTCTAGTTCCCTACATATTTGTGGCTCCGCAGTTCCTCGTCGGCTGCTTGTTTTTTTTTTTTTTTTTTGCTTATTCACCTTCCTTTTCTTCCTCCATGACAAATCTTGAGTGCTTTTTTCCCTTCATATTTCTCCCTACACCTGATACACCCTGTCTCCAGCATCGCTGGCCTCTGATTGGCTGCGCTCAGCCTGCCTCATCTTCAACAGCAGTGCTTGAATTCCACTGGCTGGGAGCTAATCAACACAAACCAATGCTCTCTTTCTCTCTCTCTCCTAAACACACACATAAACACACACACACATTTTGCACGTGCTCGGTGGTGTCGGTCAGACCCCGGTGAAATGTGCACAGCCTCTCTCCCTCATACTCACTCACATGCACTCACCGGCGTACAGCTCGCTTTGTCAACAGCTCACGTAGCAGCAGAGCTCTTATGGACATAGCTCATTCGCAATCACATACACACGCACACACACATGCACACACCACAAGCATGCAATCACACACTCCGAGCTCTTCTATGATGCTATGACGTTCAGAACTCCTTCTTTCTCACACACCCCTCAGTAGCTGCTGTTTTTTTTTCAGAGGACAGACAGACGGACAGTCTCTCTATCTGGCAGTCAGTCAGCCAGTCAGTCAGTCAGTCAGTCAGTCAGTCAGTCAGTCAGTCAGTCAG